TACCTTGGTGGCTCAGTCAGTTAAGCGCCTGACTTCGGATTGGGTGACGATCTCACGGTTTGTGAGTTCAAGACCCGCGTGGGGCTCTGTGCTGACACCTCGGAGCCTGGAGCCTGCTTTGGATTCTGTGTCTCCCTTTCTCTCTGCTCCTCCTCTCCTCACACTCTGTGTCTCTCTCCTATGAAAATAAATAAACATTCAGAAAAAATTTAAAAAAAAAAGAAAATGATTCACCACAATCAAGTGGGATTTATTTATTCCTGGGATGCAAGGGTGGTTCAATATTTGCAAATCAATCAACATGAACAAGAGTGAGGATAGAAACCACATGATCATTTTGATACATGCAGAAAAAGCATTTGACAAAGTACAGCACCTAGTCATGATAAAAACCTTCAACAAAGTAGATCTAGAGGGAATGTACCTCAACACAATAAAGGCATTATGTGGAAAACATCATACTCAGTGGGGAAAAACAGAGAGCTTTTCCCCTTGGGTCAGGAATAAGACCAGGACATACACTCTCATCACTTTTATTCAACATAGCACTGGGAGTCCTAGCCACATCAATCAGACAACAAAAAGAAATAAAACACATCCAAATTGGTAAGGAAGAAGTAAAACTCACTATTTGCAGATGACCCGATACTATATATAGGAAACCCCAAAGACTCCCTGAAAAAACTACTAGAATTTAGTGAGGTCACAAGATACAAAATGAATGCACAGAACTCTGTTGCACTAATAAGGAAGTAGCAGAAAGAGAAATTAAGATAATAATCCCACTTACAATTGCACCAAAAATAACAAAATACCTGGGAATAAACTTAACCATGGAGGTGAAAGACCTGTATTCTGAAAACTACACACATTGGTGAAAGAAATTGAAAATGACATAAAGAAATGGAAAGACTCCATGGAGTCAGTCATGGAAAGACAGAAAGAAATGGAAAGAATCCATGCTCATGGATTGGGAGAAGAAATATTTTTAATATGTCCATGCTATCCAAAGCAATCTATAGATTTAATGCAATCCTTTTCAAAATATCAATCTAGTTCACAGAATTAGAACAAATAATTCTAAAATTTGTATGGAGCCACAAAAGACCTCAAGTAGCCAAAGCAATCTTGAAACAAAACAAAACAAAACTGGAGGTACCACAATCCCAAATTTCAAGATCTACTACAAAGCACCAGTCATCAAAATAGTAAGGTACTGGCAAAAATAGACACATAGGTCAATGGAACAGAATAGAGAGCCCAGAAATAAACCCATAATTACATGGTCAATGAACTTCAACAAAGAAGGCAAGAATACCCAATGGGAAAAAGACAGTCTCTTTAACATATGGTGTTGGAAAAACTGGATAGCAACACGCAAAAGAATGAAACTGGACCACTTTCTTAACATATGGTGTTGGAAAAACTGGATAGCAACAGGCAAAAAAATGAAACTGGACCGCTTTCTTACACCTTACACAAAAATAAATTCAAAATGGATTAAAGACCTAAATGTGAGACATGAAACCATAAAAATCCTAGGAGAGAGCACAGGCAGTAATTTCTCTGACACTGACCATGGCAACATTTTTCTAGATATGTCTCCTGAGAAAAGGGGAACAAAAGCAAAATTAAACTATTGGGACTACATCAAAATAAAAAAAGCTTCTGCACAGGCAAGGAAACAATCAACAAAACCAAAAGGCAACCTATGGAATGGGAGAAGATATTTGCAAATGACATGCCTGATAAAGGGTTAGTATCCACAATATATAAAGAATTTATATAACTCAACACCCAGAAAACAAATAATCCAATTAAAAAATGGGCAGAAGACGTGAACAGACATTTCTCCATAGAAGACATCCAGATGGCCAGCCAACACATGAAAAGATGCTCACCACCACTCATTTGTCAGGGAAATGCAAATCAAAAAAATGAGATATCACCTCACACTTGTCAGAATGGCTAAAATTAACAATGCAAGAAACAACAGGTGTTGGCGAGGATGTGGAGAAAAAGGAACCCTCATGCACTGTTGGTGGGAATGCAAACTGGTACAGTCACTGTGGAAAACAGTGTGGAGTTTCTTCAAAGAGTTAAAAATAGAACTGTAGATCTAGCAATCGCACTATTGGGTATTCACCCAAAGAACACAAAAACACTGATCCAGAGGGATACATGCACCCCTATGTTTATGCAGCATTATTTACAATTGCCAAGATATGGAAGCAGCCCAAGTGTCCATCCACCGATGAATGGATAAAGAAGTGGTGTAAAGATACAATGGAATATTATTCAGCCATTAAAAAAGAACGAGATCTTGCCATTAGCAACAATGCGGATGGAATTAGGGAGTATAATGCTAAGCTACCTAAGTCAGAGAAAGACAAATACCATGATCTCACTCATATGTGGAATTTAAGAAACAAAAGAAATGAACCAAGAAAGAGACAAGAAACTAGACTCTTAAACATAAGAACAAACTGCCAGAGGGGAGGGGGCGGGGTGTGGGTGAAATAGGTGAAGGGGATTAAGAGTGCACTTACTGTGATGAAACACTGAATAATGTACAGAATTGTTAAACCTCTATATTGTACACTTGAAATTAATATAACACTGTATGTTTGTTACGCTGGAATTTATACGAAACAACAAAAACAAAAAAATCCATTCATGATCTAAAACAAAAGTAGTGCCAACAGGAGAGAAGTACTAAGTGAAGGTACCTCTCTTTCCCCACCTCTCTTTAGAAGCAGTTGCAAGTACTAGCAGTGTCTTGAGTATCTTTCTAGAAATGTTCTAAGGATATGCAAATATGTGAACATACACATCATTTCTCCCGTACACAAATAGGATCCTTCTAAACAATGTTGTGCATTGACTTTTCCTACCAATATATTTTTAGCAGAGTCATACAGAATGCAAAAGTTACTGTTTTAAAACGTACAAGTCAGTGGTTTTTAGTATACTCAATTGTGTTGTGTACCCATCACCGATGTCTAATTCCAGGGCATTTCCATCACCCCAAAAAGAAATTCCATAGCTATTAGCAGTTAGTCCCAATTTCCTTTTACTGTTCATGCCCTGGCAACCACTAATCTACTTTCTGACTCAATCGATTTACCTTTTCTAGACACATGAGTGGAATCTTATAGCATGTGGTCTCGTGTCTGGCTTTCTTCCCTTAGCATGTCTTCAAGGTTCACTCTTGTTGTAGCCTATGTCATTTCTCTTGGGTATATGCCTAGGAATGGAATTGCTGGGTGATAGGGAAATTCTATATCTAACTTTTGAGGAGCTGCCAAGCTTACTTGCACACTGGCTTCACCATATTACATTCCCACCAGAAATGTTATGAGGGTTCCAATTTTTCTGCCATTCTCACACTTGTTCTTTTTCACTTTAAAAAATTATAGCTGTTAGCAGAGAAGAAATGTTATATCCTTGCGGTTTTGATTTACATTTCCCTAATGAGTAATGATGTCAAGCATCTTTTTGTGTGCTTATTGGCCATTTGTACGTCTCTGGAGAGATATCTATTCAAATCCTTTGCTTTTAAGTTGGGTTGTCTTTTTGCTGTTGGGTCATGAGTTTTTAAAACTATATTCTGGGTAATAGTTGCTGATCAGATACAGGATTTGCAAATTTTTCTTCCATTCTGTGGGTTGTCTTTTCACTTTCCTTTTGGTGTTCTTTGAGGTAAAAGAGTTCTTGGTTTTGATGAGGCCAAATTTGTTTCTTTCATTACTTGTGTTTTAGTTTCACATCTAGAGGAAACCATCCCCTAATCCAAGGTCACACAAATATACTGTTGTCTTCTAATAGTTCTTGTTCTTACATTTAGGTCTTTGATCCATTTTGAGTTACTTTTTGTGTCTGGTGGGAAGTACGGGTCCAAATTCATTCTTTCCTATGTAGATATCCAGTTGTCCCAGAACCATTTGTTTTTGAAAAGATTATTCTTTCCTCCATGGAATGGCCTGGGAACAATGTATTTGCAGACATAAATTTTATATAT